CTTTGGTATAGGTATAGGACGAGAGGCAGAGTGGTTGAGATTGAGGCTTGCGAAGTAGTCTGTGGTTTCGGAGACGGGCGACTGGGGGGACGGCGGACTATAAGTCGACGAGGTGGCCGTTAATTCTTCGAGGGATGACAACGAAACTCTGGTGGGGTGACCGTGTCTCGCAATAAGAGTCTCCAGCTGATCTCGGGCACGAAGACTAGAGGGACGTTGGGAAGGCGATAAAGGCAACGAGGAAAGATTGGCTAAGAGCACGCGATCAGCATGAATCATTGGGAATGTGCAGAACAAGCGCAGAGCCAAATGCCACACGTGTCCGGCGGGGATAATCTTAATCTCTGCCCACAAGTGAAGCTGAAAAAACAAAACAGGTCATTGAAGGGTCGGTTGGGATAGAAGAAGAATGCAAGCAACCCAAAGAGGAGAGTACATTCCACTACTGTAGAGGGGGGGTGGGTGGGAAGATCTGCTGGCACCAGGTGGGGCAAAAGGATGATTTGACAGAAGGTGCACGACGGACGAGTAAACGACCGAAGTTGAGGGAGCAGAACTTACCACTGGTCAATGGTGGGGAGTGAATTGAACTGTAGGAGGAGGACGGATAGAGAGAGGGCAAAGAAGATGCAGAAGAGGAGGAGGCCGAGGGGGAGGAAGGCGGAAAGGCAGCCATTGAGGGTTTTATTCTGAAGATTTGATTGTCTGTCCCTTTTCGTACCGTAATCTTTTGGTTCCAGTTTCTGTTCCCTGTTCAAATTAAATCCCGCTTTTTTTTTTTTTTTTCTTTTCCCTTTTTTGTTCCAACCAGTACCGAGAGTGGGTTCAACGGTTCAACCGATGGGATGGGATGGGATGACTTGGATCCAGGCACCCAGGATGCCTTCTCCTGACAGCGGCTCTTCGCTGCCAAGTCAGGCAACCGACTGACTGCTTTGCCTGATGGTGCTCTCTATGCGGGGTCCCTTGTTGTTGTAATTGTCTGTACGAGAGATATCTTTGAAGTTGTCCCAGGATTACGGATACTAATTCGACTTGGAATCTTGTCCTCGACCGAGGGGGGAGATTGTCACGCAGGGGAAAAAAAGAAAAAGTTCGGGTCTGTGTCTAAATTGATCGTCAGCTTGCGGGGAAACTCAAACAAAGTTGACAAACGTAAGAAAACCAAGACCCAAAAAAAGCCCATGGCGTCATGGCGGGAGACGCGGGAATCCATTGTTGAGGGGCAGGCGGGTAACTTATGGTACGGTATGCATCTTGGATCATCATAAAAGGGGGGTTCCACTTCTTTCCGCTGTGCTGATGTTGCTGCGATCTGCCCTCCTTCACGTCGAAGGATGTACTCGCCATGCCAATCGTGTTTGTTCTTGAGTCGAAGTCGGCCAAGAAACAAACGAGAGATGCAGCAGAAAGGAAAATCTCATGCACGACCTACCGATCAAGTTCCTATCTCATTTGGGTGTTGGTTGCGAATGCCTTCAACGATTGGTTCCTGTGGGACCGACGGGCGCTAGCCACAATCAGGCTAGTCTTCAATGACTGGGCTCCAGCTCCGAGTTGTAAGATGGTAGATACCGAATTTGTCGATGGAATGACGCCAAGTTGGCTCCGGTTCTTGGAGTACACAAGCGAGGAATGACAGGTAGGTGAGTGAAACAATGAAGAGGAGAAAGAAGAATGGTGGATGAAGCTAGTGTGGTTGGTGAAATGATGGCTGGTCACACCTCATGTCAAACAGATATTTAGTATAGTGGGAACAATAAGGAGGAAAGAATAGGCTGATTGACAACGCATGAGGGGGTCTTGGCAGGCCTGAAAAGGATTCATCGGTTGTGTTTCAATCCAAGCAGGCATTCATATGAGGTACATGTACTGTACAGTAGTGCCGAGCATGTAGGTACTGTACAGTACATAAAGAAAATACCTCAGGCAGTCAGGCAAGCTGGGGGTTGACTAAGCGGAGGCAGAGCAATAGACAATGTGTACTTCGTACTCCGTGCAGTACTCGTACTTTGTAGATCGTTGTCGGAGAGTTTGTACGACAAAGTAAGTGGCCAGATTACTCGTTCCCTGCATGGGGTCCGGATCTGTTTATAACCTTGGAGAATTGCTGCGGAAGGATCCATTTTCCTCCCGCCTGATGCCTCCTCGTTCTGTCGTTAAAACCTGTTGCAACCACACGCGGGAAACTCGGGTGACCTGTCCTGTTAGTTCTTCCACTATCACCAAAAATAATCCGAGTCAGGACACCGCTTCATCCACAAGGGTGAAGAGTGACTACAGGAAAAACAATGACGATCTCTTGTGCCCTTAGTCTGGCCGAAAGAAACCGTTTGGTCTCAGGCGAGTCTAGAGTGAGTGACTAGCTTACCTTTCCGTTTCGTCTGGGTTATCGCGTTCTAATCACATCCTCATATCAGTAGCACCTCTGTCGATCCAGATGTATTCAACCTTGGGAGGCTATTGGCTGGCGAGGGCTATCACACATTGAATGTGGCTGGTGCTAAACCTGGTGGGAGACGATCATGCAAGCCATTGTCCATTGTTGACAATCCGCGACGATATCCGCGTGTCGTAACCCCAGATCCAAGCAGTTCAGACTGCACAGTCGATCTGCAGCTATCTGTGCCACCATGGACTGGGCTATCACTTCGGACGGGTGGGGAGGACGGGACTTAGGGCTGGAACTTTTTTCATCCTTCTGCCAGACTCCTAAATGGGTTGAGGGGGGAGGTGCGATGTGATGGGGCAAGGATATGCCCCCCAGCAACATCAATACCGGGCAAGCTTAAGACAGAAAGTGTCTTGCGTCCGACAGTCTGAGTGGATGACCGTTGCCATCCACACGGGGCAGCGCGATCAGCCGACTTGATTCAGATCCCCCCCTCCATCACCGGCTTGCGCGCTTCACATTACTAATTCAGCAGGGTGGTTTCAATACTTCCGAGTCGTCACCTAATGAGGAATAGGCCTGTGAGTCACCAAGACGACTACTGGAACCACAGCCACCACTACATTGGTGGGAAGGCCCTCAGTGATTTATTCTACTGAGTAAGGAGACAGATTGGACGCTCATTTATCGTCCGCCCGTGAGAGTGTCGATGAACACACAACTACGACCCATGTCATTACTCGTAGAGATTTGATCCGGATGGGCGGAACACCCTTGAACGAATGTGCAGGCACCAGCATAACATACCTAGCTTGCACATCAAAAGATCGCCCGGCCACAGGACCTTCATGAAACGTTTGGAAAAGGATGACTGTCGTCTAGTGGTAACGGTGTCTCTTCGGGAGATCGACTAGGCCGATGCATCCCAGCCACAAGAGCTTCTGACGAGCTCAAGTATAACAATACATGTATTTGGTGACTCTGACGCCGATGGCATCACGCATCACCGAGGATAATCTATTTAGCAACGCACCAAACATTGGCTTGTCCACTGTGACTGGAACTGCCCCTGCCCAGCTCGTTGAGGCACACTGCCTCTCCGACCTGCGTCACTCGCTAATGTTACGCTTTCTGTCACACCTTTTCCCTTGAAACCTGCTATCAGATAATATATATCGCCCCTCATTCATTGGCGCCCTGGACGATCGTTTCTGCAGGTCGCCAGATTCGGGAATATGACCATGTAAGTCGTTTGCCTACTCCGTACCTCCTTCTTGACCATTTCGACGGAGCACTCCTACTATCAACAAGAGTCAGTCGTGCAGTCGACTTGCCAACCCCACACACAACTCCGGGAAAATAGGCCAACCATTCAAATCGTAGGACAATCCCCCTTGCGGGCGCACTCACTCGGCGATGATTAGGTAACTCATCCTTTAGTCCATACAAAGTAGTACGAGTAAGGTCCGACGTTCAAGTCCCGAGGACCTGCACTAGTTTCGCACCCTCCCTGGAGCAAGGGGGGGGGGGCACTTCGCTTGTTCCTGTGATCCATTCTGATCCCGGCAATATTGTACCTAGTAACGTTGTGAGCCAATTGCATGCGCAGGAGTGGAGCAACGGGTAGGAACGGATAAGCGGAGAACGGATGTTGACTGTGGCTTTGACACTTTTCCAAGGCGCCAGTCCATGGCAGCCAATTATCTAGATGTCAAGGTCAGAGTATTGTCTCAATTGCATTCATGTGCAATGACGGAATGGCGCGTAGTGCTTTCCTACCGGAATCAACATTGTAGTCCTTTGCTCCCACTATAAGGTTCTTCGCTATGGGGAACATTCTACTAGTGCTTATCATTATTTATCCCGCCTGTTTATCTACCGGAAAAGGTGTGCATAACTCTTTCACAAGTTTCTGGTGAAATATTATACTGAAATGTACTTTTGTGCACAAAGTCCTGTTCAAGTCATCTTATGCAGGCGTCTGCTGCCTTTTTCCGGCTTGAGGATCTGTTGAATTCGTTGTTACTCACTAGGTACTGTACATACCTGAGAAGCTCGGTACAAAGCATAAGGGTATATAGGGGATCCTGACCATAGAGAACCGCTTGGAGCTTTGACCGGTAACTGCTAAAATACCTCTCGTGATGAAATGACAAGGATGAGAAACATGCGGCATCGCCTCAACTCAGTGAAGATGTACGAGCGATTACAGGGAATATCAATATTGATCATAAATGATTTACCATCCTGCAGTCACAGCAAAATTTAGGAGTGGGTCCCAATCTGAGTGGAGGGTCTCCCGCGTGCATTGGGCAAGTTCAGGGGTGTGTTGTCAGGTCAATCTATCGCTTGATTTACATTAGAGGTGTTACGGGCGGCAGACTGGAAACCATCGTCGAAAAGTGCTTTGAGTATCTAGTATGCGAAGAATGATTTTCTTTCTAGAGCTCAGTCTTTCTAGCTTCGAGGTGTTTATGACTTATCCTACAAACGATCATCGAAGATAGGCTAAATGTACCCTCCAGCCCTCATTCAATGTGCCTAGTATATTCTTCCCCAGTAACTCAATTTGACCCTTGTCTACACCACAACTCCATCCAGAACTACCTCATCCCAACCATCCGGTCAACCCTTGATCCACTGGAATACAGGTGCCATTGATCAAGCTTGATCCTGGCCCGCAGGTGATCGAGAGACAAAGATCTGCCACCTGATCAACATCGCACATTGCCAGCTTGGCAGCTGTCATCATATCCATCGCCTTGTCTTTCCCTTCCATGTTGATTCCCGTCATGAAGGCATCCGTGATATTCGTGTCCATCCCACCCAGCATCAAAGCATTACACCGAATGCCCTTGGATCCATAGAACGTGGCCGTGTTCTTGGTCAAGCCCACTAGACCATGCTTGCTCGCTGTGTACGCAGCACCTATAGTTGAGCTTGTGAGTAACAAACCCTTTTGGCTTGTGAAAGAAAAGATGAAAACACTCACCCGCCGCAAAGCCTGCTTTACCAGCCACGGACACGATGTTCACGATGCGCCCATCCACCACATCCCTTTTCAACATATCCTGCACCGCCAGCTTGCTGAGCATATACGGAGCCGTCAAGTTCACCGCGATCACCCGATTCCAAAGGTCCTCATCCAGCTCTCCGACGGGGTCGAATCGATCCATGATTCCGGCGTTGTTGATCAGGATATCCAGCTTCTGAAACCGGGCGACGATCTCCTGGAAGAGGGTCTGCACGTCCGACGCGGAGGTGATATCGGTCTTGATTGTCAGCAGTCGGCTGGCGTTGTCTCCGACTGCGAGTTCTTTGGATGTGTCATCGAGGCGATCCTGGTTGATATCGCAGATGACGACGTTGGCGCCGGCTTGGAGATATCGGGTTGCGATAGTCTTGCCCAACCCGCCTGCACCGCCGGTCACAAGACACGTTTTGTCAGTCAAGTTGATGGACATATTGTTTCAAGTTGGATGATGTCTTCTGCTGAGCAATGTATCAGGAGATCGACGGCAGAGTTTATATACTTGAGGTCTCCAGATCGAACCCGTATTTCCGCATTTTGCGTATACGCTTCCCCACATCTCCTAAAGTTCTTCCCCTGAGCTAGTCTCAACAGCCGTGATATGTCGGTTGTTAGCCCCGAGGACCGGTCAAGTGGGCGCTTGAGGGGGGTGAAGCCGCGTATTGACGCCCATGGAATTTCGTATTGGCGTATTCGGCTCGTCGGGGCGGCGAGTGGATCCCTTCGCAGCTCTCTAAGGAGGGAATACGCGAAATACGCGTGTGGATATACAGCCAATCTCGCAGCCTGGAGCCGACTTGCTGCAGCATTTGGTGTATGTCTGTTGTTTGAGATTCAGGACTTGTTGCGAATTCTATTACTGTAATCCTCCCACAAGTTAACCTTACTCACCAAGACCATTGCAAATTCATCGATATCGCCGGTTGTTCCGGCTGTGAGCACTATCTTCTGTGCAAGTCACGGCATCGGTGATGATAACCAGCCAAATGACGAGCCTTAATGCTCCAGACAGGCTTTCTTGGAGTGTGTAAGTATCAGGTGAGCCATTGCTTGTGTCATAGCTCCTAAATCATTCCCACGTTGCAAGACAGTAACTGATCTTCCGACAGTAGCTTGCCCTTTTTTCAATTCGGCAAGACACGGCCAAGAGACCAAATCGAAGCACCAACTCCAACAGCTCCCAAGCCAAATCCCCATTCATTGAGGAGATTACTTTCCGATCAAAAGTCTAAGGTTGAAATCTGGGAATTCCCCGCGTTTGATCCATCCTAGGGCAACTTTTGTGGGTCAATCAGTCTTGGATGCATATCATAGATTATTCCGAATTAGCTCACACGGGGTCCAGACTATGCAGGATCGGACATTCCTAAGGCTTTTGCTTCTGTCATCGAGCGACTTGGCCTGAGTCTTGCCGATCGCTTAGGGATAACCATGACCCTGTTGAGTATGTGCAAAGTGGCAATGATCTCTGTCTGGCCTGGCTCACACGCTTCAAACAAGGGGTTTCTCGGCCTTTGACGAGGTTGGCTTGCGAGTGGCACCACGAAGATAAAAGTCGTCGGTAATCCAGCCATGAGGCAACGGCAGAATAATCTACATACATCTAATAATGAGTTTTCGTTGTCGTGATAAGCTTATCATCATGGCATGGCTGTTACACAACAGGATGACTTGGAGCGCAGGGGAGGTTGTGCTATTTGTCCCTGGCTCTCAATGCTCCACCGTGCATCGCGAGAACCTTCTCTTTTGGGTTAACTTGCAGCCACCTGCCGGTTATCTTATCGCTCCCCCGGTTACGGTTATCGCTTCCCCAGTTTCATCGGCATTGGTCAATTGAAGCATCTACTAAGGTCTTACTGAGCCAGACGGCAGTTGCTGCCCTAATGCTGTCTCATCACTGTGCTTGTCGGTTGATAAATAGCCCTGTGACGCTCATCCCTGAATGACTGGCGGCTCTTGTTGAATCCATTCACAAAGCATAGTGAAGATGATCGCACAAGACGATGAGATTCAGCAGATCCCCCCTTCATCGACGGGGGAAGATGTTCGTCTGGAACATCTAGGATATGAGCAAGGTATGAGTGACCAATGACGATAGCCAAAGACATGCTGACCGTGTGTCATCGCGAAGAGCTCAAGCGGTCTTTCGGGCTGCTGGGTATGATCGGTTTCAGTTTCAGTGTAGTCACCTCGTATGTTTCATTCCTCCCAAGGTAATGTATGATATCAACCTGCTAACTTGACGATCAGCTGGACGGCGCTTAGCGGTGTCTTCATCGTGGGAGTGACCTCTGGTGGTCCACCTGTCATGGTTTTCAGTTTCATCGGTGTGAGCCTGCTCACCCTTGCTGTTGCCATTCCCATGGCCGAAATGTGTTCGATGTATCCAGTGGCTGGAGGTCAATACTCGTGGGTTGCGGCATTAGCACCTCCCAAGATCGCTCGAGGACTATCATATATAACCGGTTGGTTCATGCTGATAGGTATGCTTGATCCTTCTCCCTGTTCATCGTCCAATGCACATAATCTAACGGGACCTGTCCCGTCCAAAAACGCAGGTCTCCTCGCAATGGGCGCGACCAATAATTCCATCGCCGCTCAATTCGTCCTCGGTATGGCCAACCTCGTCTTTCCCTCCTACGAGATCCAACGCTGGCAGACGGTGCTGGTCGCCTACCTCGTTGCCCTCCTGGCCGCGGCCATCAACATCTGGGGCCCGCACCTCCTCAACCGCCTCGCGCGCTTTATTCTGATATGGAACATCGGCGCCTTCTTCATCACAATCATCGTCCTCCTCGCGACCAACGACCACAAACAGCCGGCGTCGTTCGTCTTCGTGAACTTCCAAAATACCACAGGGTGGGACAAAGCGATGGCTGCCATCGTTGGCATCCTGCAGGCCTGCTTCGGGATGTGCTGCTATGACGCGCCATCGCACATGACGGAAGAGATGAAGTCGGCCTCCAAGCAAGCGCCGCAGGCGATCATCATGAGCGTGGTGCTGGGCGCCGTCACCGGCTTTGCCTTTCTGTTAGTGCTGTGCTTCTGCATTGGCGACATCACCGCGACCGCCAACTCGGCCACGGGCGTCCCCGTCATCCAGATCTTCTACGACTCGACCGGCAGCAAGGCTGCCGCCTGCGTGCTGGCCAGCATGATCGCCGTGATTGTCATCGTGGCGGGTAACAACATCCTGGCTGAGGGCTCGCGCTGCGTCTATGCCTTCGCCCGCGACCACGGCCTCCCCTGCAGCACCTGGCTGGCCAAGGTGGACAAGAAGAGACAGGTCCCGGTGAACGCTGTGTTGTTGACGCTCGTCGTGCAGCTGGCGCTGGACGCGATCGATTTCGGGACGAGTACCGGCTTCGAGACGGTGATTGCTATCTCCACTGAAGGATTTTGTACGTTGCTTGTCTCCTTGCCCCGACAGCTCACTTACTCCTCTCTCCCCTGCCCTCGTCACCCACCTTCAGCATGAGCACAGTAAAACTAACCCTCTGACCAAAACACAGACCTCTCCTACGCCACCGCCCTCGCCAGCCGCCTCCTAGGCTACATCACCTCCCACCAGAAGACAATGACAGGCCCCTTCGCCCTGCCCTCCTCTCTGTCCATCGCCCTCAATGTCCTCGGCCTGCTCTTCCTGCTGTTTGCCTCGATCACTTTCAACTTCCCCACCACCTACCCGGTCACCGACGATTCGATGAACTACACCAGCGCGGCTATCGGGGTCATCGCGCTGATCGCCCTGGGGACGTGGATGAGTACTGGAAGGAAGAATTTCACGGGGCCTGCGGGGGGTCTCGCCTCGCAGGGTATGGTGGTTGAGACTGGGAAAGTCGTGGAGGATGTAGAGCCGGAGGGGAGGTTGGAGGGAATGGAGAAGAAGGGATGAAATTTCGTTTATGTACATGACTCCTTGTTTGGATAGTTATGCGAGTTCTTGATAAGATTATGCCTTGTCGGTTGTTCCTATTTGCTACTTGTAATGTGGTGGCAATGCCCTGTGTGGAATGGTGTGGCATGTTTGCTGTATATGTATCTAATCTCTGGGAATCAGTTTATTGATGTCTACGAACAAGACAATCCGTGACTCTAGTAGCACCTTTGTTCATTGACACTGCAGGCGGACCACTGCTCTGATCGTCTATGTACTGTACTATAGACGTGGCTCCGGCCAGATCGATCATTTTCATCCCAACTAAATTGGTATCCCGCGAAGTAAGTAGGGCCGGACATTTGTCCATATGACCCAAGAGACAGACACTTTTAGCCCAACCAAGAACCAACCCTGAAGCAGACAAAAGAGAAACTCAACGCCATTACTCGCCAAAATGCAAAGAGAATGTACAACCAAATCACGACCGGCTCTTCTCCCACTTGGTGATTCTCCGTTTCAGATCGCCCGCGGTCTGCTGCATGGGGTTCAACCGCCGGTCGCGCGCCATGGCGGCGTAGTTGTCGCCGTGCTTCTCGACCAGCCGCAGAATCCACTCCTCCTCACGCTTGCTCTGGTGGCGGGGCTTCTTGGCGGCGACCTTGCGGCTCTCCAGGTCGGCCTGGAGCTCGAGCTGCCGGACGATCTCGCTGTCGGCCTGCTGCGTCTGCGTTGCACTCCTCGGCGCACCAGCCTCCTCCTCCTCGTCCGCCGACAGATCGTTCAGCGGGTCGTTCAGCGGGTTGTGGCGCTTGTGCTTGCGGCCCGCCACCTCGATCTCGTCGTCGTCCTCCGGGCGGATCACGCGCAGGATCTTGCCGGTCGCCGGGTCGCGCTCGACGCGGATCTCGCTGGCCGCGTTCTTCTGCGCCACCGCCGTCGCGCTGCTCTTGATGTGCAGCGAGTCCTCCCGGTCGCGCGCGACGCCCCCCTCCTTCGTGGGCCGCTTCTCCGAACCGCCCGTCGGCGCGTTCAGGCGATGCACCAGCCCCAGGTTGCGGTAGTTTTGGGTGAGGGTCAAGTCGCGGTTCCTGTTTGTCAGACGAATCGCATGTTAGCTGTGGTTGCGCGGCGGTCAAGGCAAAACTTCGTCGTCGTCGGGTGTCTCCCCGTTGCGGGATGATTTTGGTCTCCGTACCAGTTCTCAGCGATGATGGCATTTCCCAGAACATTGATCTTCTTCCGGCCGTTCTTCAGGAGACCGGTGCGCTTGGCCTTAGCCTTGGGCAGACCGGATCGGTTCTTTCTCTTCTGGCGCACGTTGGTCATGGTGTGTTGATTGTCTGTAGAAGCTGGACTGTTGGTTGGAGTGAGTGTTGGCTGGCTGCCTCAGAAAAAAAAGTTATCGGGTCTCCCGAAAACTTGTGAGGGTTGTTTGCATTGCGGGTCTTGGCGTGTTTGCGCCCGATTGATAAGAAGAGCAAGCCAAGATCCGGAGATCGGGGGTTCCGACGAGTCCAACACGCGTAGACTAGACTAAGGGTCTTACCTACTAG